AAATTAAAAAAAGTATTTTTTTTTAATTTTTAGTAAAAAGTACTAAATAGAAAATGTTAGAGAAAGATATCCGAATTTTAGTATTACTCTTTGACTATGGTAAATAAAATGTTTAATGGAAATATATACGGTTATATGAAATATAGTTTCGAATCCCACATGAATCTATACTACAGCGAATGATTATGTGAATTTTGGTTAAAATTTCTAGTGTAGTGAAAAACAGGCGAGACTTCAAATACAAATAAGTGAAACTATGCAATAAGCCGCTGAACATCACAAGTACTAAAGTGTAGTCAATTTTAAATGCTAAAGTTCCAAATTTTCTAAAATAACAATACTGATATTTCCAATGATGTTTCCAACCACATTGGATCGATCTTTTGATGTAATGAATAATGGGCTGGATCATTATTATGAGGATATACTAAAAATATCGACAATACCATTGAGTATTTTGTAATACGTAACGCACCAGAAATACTAAATTTCTGCAATTTTAATGGAAATCTTCACTATAAAGGCAGGTCTCTGAATAAAAAATGATGCGCTGTGCAAAATTGTAATTTGTACTATAAGGGTACTACTATCAGTACTAAAACGAACTAGATATTTTACCATTAGTATTAAATTACCGGAAGGAACAAAAAAGGTTAACACAGTATTATAGAACTTTTTACATCAGTCAATCGGGACGATCGAGAAAGTAGTAAACTTACAGAACTTGTACTCGATTTAGTAGGACAGAAGCATTAACGTTTCTCTACGAAAGAAATACGGAGTAAGATCTGAGATTAAAACAAACATATTAAGATATAAAACCTATAATAAAAATGTTTCAAATTTGTACTTAATCCAAAAGTATATTGCGTAGCTAAAATAATGTTTATTTATTTAACTATAAAAAGTTTCGCTAACAACGTAGCGGGCCTATGCTAGTATATACAGTGGTGGTCACAGAATTAAAACATTTACTGTGCTAAACATTTTTTGATCGGCCCTCGATTCGTTTGAAGTATTTTTGAAAATTTTTTAATTCAGAACACTTCGATATACTGCACTTAAGAGATTTAGTGTGAAAATAGAAAAATTTTGCATGCAATTTTTCCATAAATAACGGTTTTTATGAAAACACATCGACTTTGAAGTGGCCATATAATTAAAACATTGTGTGGGATTTTTTACTTTACTGCATTTTTTGAAAATATTTTTAGAATATCTCTTTAATTTAGTTAAATTTTGTGAACCCAGCACCGATAAAATCATTTACAGAAAAAAGTTGTTGAAAAAATCTGTAAAATCTATCAAAATTGCCAACAATTTGTACAGTACACCTTACGTTCAGAAAATCACCCTAATTATAGAAAATAAAGGTCCGAATGCACCAGAAATTGCTAGAATTAGTAGAAAACAATAAATAATTTTCAAATTAAAGAAATATTTGAAATAAAAACTCAAAAAAATGGAATTAACCTAAAGAAACTATTCAATTTCAATAGTCTTTACTGAAGAAGGCCGGAATATTTTTGCAGTATGTGAGAAAAAATCGATTGATATTGGTATTTATTTTATCAAATCGACTGTTCGAGTAGTATAGAATATATTTTATCAAAAAATATATCTGTCAGAACATAACGAACAGAGATCAACGCCTAGGTTGACGAGTAAAAGTTTCTGGCACACAGCAGCATGTTTGATGGTCAACTCTTGACCCTTAAAATCTATTGAACATGACAATATTTTTCCAAAATAATATTTTTTGAATCGAATAACTTCCACTTAATCTATTATAATATCAAGGAAGTAAAAATTTTACAGTTTGAAAAATATTTGAAGTCTTGTGTTGAACATGAAAAATGCTGCTGTATGCCAGAAACTTTTACTCGTCAACCTAGGCGTTGATCTCTGTTCGTTCTGTTCTGACAGATATATTTTTTGATAAAATATATTCTGTACTACTCGAACAGTCGATTTGATATAATAAATACCAATATCAATCGATTTTTTCTCACATACTGCAAAAATATTCCGGCCTTCTTCAGTAAAGACTATTGAAATTGAATAGTTTCTTTAGGTTAATTCCATTTTTTTGAGTTTTTATTTCAAATATTTCTTTAATTTGAAAATTATTTATTGTTTTCTACTAATTCTATCAATTTCTGGTGCATTCGGACCTTTATTTTCTATAATTAGGGTGATTTTCCGAACGTAAGGTGTACTGTACAAATTGTTGGCAATTTTGATAGATTTTACAGATTTTTTCAACAATTTTTTTCTGTAAATGATTTTATCGGTGCTGGGTTCACAAAATTTAACTAAATTAAAGAGATTTTCTAAAAATATTTTCAAAAAATGCAGTAAAGTAAAAAATCCCACACAATGTTTTAATTATATGGCCACTTCAAAGTCGATGTATTTTCATAAAAACCGTTATTTATGGAAAAATTGCATGCAAACATTTTCTATTTTCACACTAAATCTCTTAAGTGCAGTAAATCGAAGTGTTCTGAAATAAAAAATTTTCAAAAATACTTCAAACGAATCGAGGGCTGATCAATATATGTTTACCACAGTAAATGTTTTAGTTCTGTGACCACCACTGTATATATATATAAATATATTTTCCCAGAAAATTTTCGGAAATTTATATTTTTCTGAATATGTTAGGTCCGCATAAATGTCTATATGTTTAAGCTCCTAGGCCAGTTATCTAACTTAAGGGAACTAACTAATGGTGGACCTTTGAAAAAATATTTTTTGGATATCGCCGATTTTTTACCAAAAACCAAGTTAAAAAATAAGGAAGATCTTCACCGATTGGCTTTATCCTAGTTCATACGATAGCTATACACTCACAGAGAAACGTTGCAAAAGAACCGATTGGATTATTAGTTTTTGAGTTATCGTGCCCGCCATTCGCAAAAAAATGTTTAGAGAAAAACGCGTTTAAAGTTTGAGAAGCCCTTCAGCCGTCACAATAAATGACCCAATAAATCGGGTATATCTTAAAGAGTTCTTGAAATTTTGTAGAGACATTCTTGAGTCAGTGTAGATTCGAATTATATCAACAAAAAATTTGACCCCGTGAATGGGGGGGTCGGTTTGTTTTGCATTTCATATTTTCACAGCATAAACTACCGGTTTGGGACACCCGGGCGTATGACTAACAACGATTTTGCTTCGTGTTACGTATACGCATATAGTACCACAGTCAAAATCGAGTTAATGAAGTTTGTGTGAATTATAAAATAGAGAACTATCTCTAAATTATTTGTATAAGAAAAACAAATATTTCTATTAAATTTTTTTAATAAAATATATAAGAAAACGAAAAACTTTTTTTGATACATCTTCTTTCTGTCAGTCTATTATTTCACATTTAAAAAATATTTTGATATCTTTTGGACAAAAAATTGCACCGAATAGCCAAAGAACTTACAGAATCCAGTTGCCAGGAGCAACTTTTGTGATATCATACACATTTTTCAGTTAATTCACATGTAATGAAAAATAAAATAAAAATAAAAACAAGACCGATAGAAACCTCTGAAGATATAACAAACCAGTGGTGCAACAGCACAGAGAAACATTTGTGTACACATTGTGAATAAAAATATATTTAAAGTAGGACGAAAAATAAAAAAATGTAGAAAATCATACGCACACACACAATCATGTGCAACATAACCAAAAACAAGTAGCAAAAAAAATATAATAAAATACTAGAGAAATGGTAAACATTGTTGTGTATAAGAAAAATTTTCTATGTGTGGGGATGTGTCCGAGTGTTGTCTGTTAAATACAGTGATGTTCATAATTGTTAGATATTGACTTCTTTGAATTTATTTCAAAAATGAATATGAAGATTCAAAATATAGTAGATTTTACGTTAAGTGGATTAATAAAAAATGCGGATTTTTTTATATTCACAATACTTAAGATAGAATTTACAAAATTAATAAAAGGAAAAGTAAATTGAAACTTTCATGGCATAATTATGGAAGGCAGTCTCAGTGGAGATATTGACAATGGCTACGATTTTTAATTTAGAGCTCATATATTAATTTCAAATAAAATGAACAATAAATTCCATTACATTTTATGTATGTCGATAAAAAGGTAAAAAAATATATTTTCTAAAGCTGCACATGGTTCTTACGGCTTTAGAGGTAGGGAATTTTAACCCTTTCAGTGTTTTTGTCAAATATATTCGACATTTAAAATTACTCTCTTTCCTTGCAATTTTTCGATTATCCTATGTACCGTTACAATTGCTGTCTTTGTTTTTGCTGAAAGACAGACAAAACTGTACGAGGGTTAAAAAAAGAATTGATTTTTTTCTAAACTTTGTGCCTTCATATGATTTTAGCCTTTTCAGTGTTTTTGTCGAATATATTCGATATTTAAAAGTACTCTCTTCCTTTGCGATTTTTCGGTTATCCTATGTACCGTTATTATTGATGTTTTTGTTTTTGCTGAAAGACAGACGAAACTGTCCGAGGGTTAAAAAAAATTGCCATTTCTTCTAAGCTCTATGCATTTATATGATTTTAAATACAAAATTTTAGATTTTTGTTCTGACAACATTTTTTTTTGACACTGAAAGGGTTAAGTACAAAATTTTAGATTTTTATTCCGACAAAAATTTTTTTTGACACTGAAAGGGTTAAAATATTAATAAATATGATTTAGATTTAGAAATTTTTGCCGCTTTCAAAGGATAACATTTTCGTTGTGAAAACTGAAAGTTGTCAAAAGCAAATTTGTGAAAACAATTGGAAACATATGACGGCATAAGACTACCTTGTATAATTTTGCCATGTCTAATTTCTAATGACTGATTTTCAATTGTGTACAGAATTTTGAACATCACTGTACTCATATGCAGTTTTCGGTATGTGAAGCTCTATGTTAGTTTTGTTATGTACAAATATATTTCTGCTATTGTGTGCGTGTTTAAAAGTATTTGCAAATAATTTTGTGATATATATTTCAATTACCTTGATAATTCTGGGGCCAGATGGTGGGTACATTCTAAAATAGAAAAAATAACAATATTTTTATACAAATTTAACATATTTTTCATACAGAGAATTTAAAAACATCAATTTTAATTTAGCATTGAATATTTGAAATATTTTCAGGAAACTCAACTCACCATTGGCACACTGTAATATTGATAGAATGGTTGATATTGCATTGAAGGTGGGTAAAGTGTTGGCATACCAGCAGCAGTAGCAGCGGCTATTTTGAAGAAGAAAAAAAAACAAATTAAAAATAATTAATTTAAGGATAAATTAATGAATGTGACAAAATCTCAAGCTTACCTGGTGGATAAACAGCGGCGGCAAATTGATCAATCGGCATATTGCTTATGGGGGCTGGAGGTGTAGTTGTGTAATAGACAGCACCATTTGTGGCCACAATCGACTGCAAATAGGGAAGAGATTATTCAATATAGCATGGCATATGAAGAAAAAAATAATATTACGAACTTATTATGAATAAAGGAATAATAACAATTATATAAAAATAATTATATATAATTTTAATTTATTTGAGTATTGCCTGTAAGGGCGATGATCATTTGAATGAGGTTTTAAGTCATTTTTTTTTTGTTTCTTTCAAGTCGAGCTTAATGAGAAAACCCTGACTTAAAAAAATTATATATAGTTTTATAATTGACTGAATTCAAAAATTTCTATAAACAAACATCGAAATCCTCACTGTATACCTTTAAGAGAAACGATTATACTTCGTTTGAAAAATTCGCTTACGAACATTGTATTACTTAAAATGTGACCTTTATATGGGGACCCTGTCTAAATTCACCGTCCGGATGTCTTTTAACATCTGAAACATGGAAATGCATTATTATGAGCACATTGATTTGAATCTGTATCACATGAGACCTATAATTTTACTATGATCAAGAAGTTATGACTCGTCTGTGTCCAAAGGTGGCAAACTGTATGGACTGCCTCCATAATGAATTGGGAGACAAGTGAGTGGATTTAGCTAGGTAGTTAAGTGGTTGTAACGTATGGTCAGATCCTAGTCCATATGTTGGACATTTATTAAGTATCCGGTAGGACTTTAGTGGGTTCGTTGGCGACTGCAACTGTATTTATTTTATTAGTCTGCCTGATAGGCCTATTGATCTAGAGGTTCTCTTTATATATCATGAAGATCTCATATGACGAGAATGGGCGGAAGAAGTCCTTACATAATTCAATGACTGAGATGAATCCGACGATAACAGCCAATCACGTACTAAATCAAAAACATCCTTGTCAGCGTCTAAAGTGCTGAGAATTATATCGTAGATGCCTTGAAAAGTGGAATCTCCATATCTGCAGCTTAGTCTATGTCGTTTTTATTGATTGTGGAACAATCTTCAAATCTTCGATTTTCTGAATTTATTAGCATATATTCTCTGTTAACGCCATCCACGATTTTCGTTAGATCAACAGTCCTCCTATGATATGTGCGGAAAATGATCTACGGGAAATAATTTTTCATCCATGGTTTGAGATGCAACACAAGTTGTTTTGCTATAGGCGACAGATTTATCTCTGTTGGCATACTTCCCAGACTTTAGAAGCGGGAATACCCCGCCTTCATTCCAGGCTTCAGAAATTATGTGGGGGGCTAAGGAAAAATTGTTGACTGATGTTAAATACATGACTGTGGATTCAGTCAGCTGTTTATGCACAACTTGATTGCATCATTAGCAAATTATACTTATTCGGAGTGCTCTTCCACAAGGAAACTCACTCGCCCTGTCGTTTAATTTGGCAGTCGTTCTATCGTCCTCCCTATCACGGTTCGAGAGTGACTTAACCATTGCTCACTGTTGGTGGTCTGCTACTTTTCTTTTATTTATCCTCCCATATTAGTCTGCTGACTTCATGAGTAAGTTCTCTCAGCTTTGAATCTTTAGGGGTCGTATGACGAAGCTCGTCCCCTTCCTTCATTGGTTAATATCGTCGCCTTTGCTGGGAAATTTTGTCTAGAAATGTTTCCACCAAATTATCAGAGACGCTTGGCAGCTCTATGAAGTGATGCAGCGATTGGAAATTTCTTTGAATCCTGGCCAAGCTGTTTTTCCATATAAAGTCTGATAGCCTTGGTACAATAATGTGGAGGAGGTGGTCTATAAAATGAGAAGTAACGATTTACCAGGTTAGGTGGCATTATCTTTGTGGGTGCACTGTCACTCACAGTGAAATTAATAATTCCATAACTCGTGGGGTTATTGAAATCCAATAGTGAAATGCTGCGTATATTAATGTTGAGGAGGCGGTGTTTCGTATTCAAATACTATGACTGATACCCACCATACCTCGTATCGCACTACTTATATGTCCAGAACAACCTTAAAAAATGCATCCATTCCTACATTCATTGAATCACAGAGATCTGTGGAGAATGCAACTGTGGCAAACTCCACCGTTCCGGGGTTTCTTTCTATCCTGACCAGAGATGGCCTGGCAGAAACAGTGACGTAAATGACATACATTTCCGACGTATAATACATACGTCAGAAACGTCGAAAACCTACCCAAATCCATTAGGTTTTTGACAAAATAGCTATTTCCATTATTCAATTTGGAAATTACGCATGCTTTACTAAAATCCCTAAAAAAATTGAAAATTTTCTTCTCAAAAAAAATTAGAAATTTTTATCAGTTCTAGCAAGGAATAGTCCGATATATGTAAAAATAATATATATTCTTGAAAATAACTGTATAACTTATATGCTGATAATATTGAAATAAATGACGTTTACTACATTTATTACATTTTATACAGGTATATGACGTTTTCGACGTTTACACCATTTTGACAGTCAAAAACCTAAAAATTCGTCACGCAGACCATCCCTGATCCTGACACGAACCAAAAGTGTTCGAAGCAGGCATTCCGCGATACAATTCCGCTTCAAACATGTATTTTTTGAGGTGACATTCTCTTTTTGAACTCTTCCTTCGAGCCAATTCGGTACATAGTAGAAGTTGCAGCAGCTTGATTTACAAGAGCCATAATATTACCCGCCTCCCTCAGCAGTAATTTCGGGCCATAAAAGTACTCTGCAGGTTTAGATTTCTGTACAATGCATAACATTTAGGAACTGTTCCCTTCATTAAACAATTTTAAGACATATCATTTTGGTGTAAGCCCCAAAATCGTTTTCATGGTCCCTGGGTAATTTTTAAATTCAGGAAGAATAGAATATATCGAGTCGAACGGTTCGTGTGAATTTTTTTTTTTTTTTTTGATGAACAAATATTCAAAAAGAGAATTTTCTAGATATTTAAAAAAAGGCAAGAAAAAAATTACTGTTTTGACGCTCAATGAGTAAAATGACTCCTTTAACGAACCAATTAATTTTACAATAAAATACTTTATATAAAAATTCGGTAGATTTTAAAATATTATATTATTTTTTCGTTTAAATATTAAAATATTGACTTACCTGTTTTTTGATGGCTGGTGCTATATTCAGTTTACGATCCCTCAGTACAACACATTCGCCCTGTTGATGATGGACGGATTTTCAAGCAAATTGGAAGAAACAGCATACAAAAAACGAAGAAAAAAAAAACAATTCAAATTAATAACATATTTCCTATTTTTTAAACTTTGCAAAAGACAAACATTTATTCAAATAAGAAAGAAAAAAATCATAAGAAACTGGGTGCTTGTTCATTTTTTTTTCTTTCACAAAATCTCTGGGTAAGTATGAACCATAGAACTCAACTGAAACTGGTAATTAAGTACAGAATCAAACCAAACCAACCAAATTGGCAACATCAGTATATCTTTTAGATAAAAACGGAACGAAAACGAAGAAAATAAACGCAACACAAACAAAATCAAAAAAATAAATAAATTTTTACAACGCTTCTTTTTTGTTTTTGTTTTGTGGCAACGTTTCAAAATGTGGTTGGGTGGTGAAATAACGAACAAACGAAAGAAAACCTCAACAAACGCTTTAACGGTAAACGTGGTAACGGTTAAACCTTAACGATAACATTTCTGTTTTTGAAAAAAAAATAAACATTGTAAAAAGAAACGAAACTAAAAACGAACGCAACGCTTTTGCTTTTAAATAATATTAAAATTTTTTAATTGCTTTTAGCACTGCTTTTTTTTATTCTAAAAAAGGTGAATGGTAAGAATTTTTTGTAATTATTTCAAAGAAAAAAATATAACGAACCAACGAACAGCAATTGCAACTGGAACAAGAAGTCGCTTTCGTATTATCTCAAAATAGAATTGAACGATAAATAACAAAAGTAACGAGAACGCAACACAACATTTTTATTTCTGTACACATTTCAAGCCAAGTAGTTTTTCTTAATATTTTCTTAAAATCATATACATAACGTTTTCGCTTAAAATATTTTATTTATTGGTAATTAAATTGTAATTGTGTGTTAAGAAACTCTTTCAAATTAATAACAATATAAACAATAATTAGTTTAAAATAACTCAATAATAACTAAATAAAATATTACGTTATAAAAAATAGAAGAAAATAATAAAAAATGTTTTGTTTTCAGCATTTGTTCTACATTTTGAAATGGTATTTTTCTTGTTGGACAGGGGTAGAAATCTACAGAACAGCACTACTGTGGCTCTAAGGCATTTAGCAACAAAAAAAATAACAAATAGTGGGATAGCAAAGGTTACTACATGGCATGAACTATAACACTTAAGTACCAGCATAAATTACCATTCAAAATTTTAACTCTATTTTATTTACACATAACAATTCCGATGTCGAAACACATTTTCCCCTTTCAATTCTCAAACCTAATGACGAATATTTTCAAATGTCTTAAAAATGGGAAATATTGCCATGACTTTTTAGGTTACCTCCCGATGCAAACTTAAAAAAAAACAAGTGAAAAAAGCGTTAAGTTCGACCACCATAGATATACTGATAGGTACTACAAATGTAAATATAGGGAACATACCAAAAAGTGGACCTATACCGACATTTCTAAAAACGGATTATGTAAACCATAATACAAATTTCAGAAATTTTTAATGGATGATTATACCCTCAGCCTTATGGCTAATGAGGGTGTATATACCTTAACACGGTGAAAATGTGTCTCATCGAAATAGTTGTTATAGACCCCATGTTTCCGTTTCAGAAAATATAGATTCCATCCAAAGTTTGCCCATATTATTACTTCTTCCAAACTTAGTTCATATTCGAAGTTGGGGAATATCGGTCCACTCCTTCTGGAACTCCCACACAGGGGCTTGGTCTAAATGCGGCAATAGTTCATTATCGAACCTTACGTTCTAATTTTTTATCTCGCTATCCTCCGCAGTTGAAATTATTACAACTGATTCTTAGAACTAAACTCAAAACGCGTAAGAAATCAGATAACTATTTTAATATAAAATAGGGGGTTATATGGGGACTACCCCAAAAACGGGGCGAATATTAATAATTTTTGGTAGGGAGATTTGTTACCATATACGACTACAAAATACCAAATTGCAGCAAATTCGGTTGAAAAACGCGCTCAAGAACCCCAAAATACCGAAAATTGGGGTACCCTTATATGGGGGCTATCCGAAAAAATGGGCCTATATTCATAATTTTTTGTAGAGAGATATGGTACCTTTCATTAACTCTAAATACTAAATTACAGCTAATTCGGCGGAAAAATATGATCAAAACCCCCAAAATACTGAAAATAAGGAGGTACCGCTATATGGGGGTACTAGCAAAAGTGGACCTGTATTTATATTTTTTTGTGGAGAAATGTAGTACCCAATAGGAACCCAGTGTAGCAAATTTCAGCGAATTCGCTTGAAGAACGTGCTCAAGAACCACAAATTGGGGGATATCCTTATATGGGAGCTATGTCTAAACGATAAAGCCCATCTTCGAACTTGACCTGCATGCAGACATAAGACGACTCTATGCAAAATTTTGGCGATCTATCTCTATTCGTTTATATATATATATATATATATATATACCTTATGGGGTTGGAAATTATTATTTCGATGAGTTACAAACGGAAAATCAAAATTAATATACCCTCCATACTATGGTGGAGGGTATAAAAAATGCTGATACACGTTTCTTCTCTTAGACACTCCATCATATATCCCGCCCGATAATTATCAAAAAAAAAAAAAATACTCAGTTTTACGATCCACTCGGCTGCCTCCGTTTGAAAATTTTGAAATCAAATCGAAAATTTAAACTGTAGAAATATGGTGGACGGCTATAACAAAATATGGACCTATATTAGGAAAAATATTAATCCTCGATGAAACCAAAATCTTCAAATAATAAGTGTTATATTGTATAGTCCTCTATTTCGGCAGCAGTCACTTTTAAAGATTTTTTTCTTCGACAGTTGAAAAAGAAAAAATGGGCAACTGGGGAGGTACCTCAGATCATGGACCTGTATATCCGATTGATGCACTAAATGTATGACTAGTATAAAAATTAAGGTGAATTATTTTCATATGAAATTTACAAGTTTTCAAAATATTGACTCTTTGGGGTCTTGATCTGGGGTGGAACAAAATATGTATATGTGCAGTTAAAAGAAAAAATTGGATGTTCCAATAGCTTGATGGAGGATGTACTAGAAGGAGCCAATCAGCCCATTTCCCTTTAGGGGATGTACCAGAAAGAGTGATACTATGTGTCCCAAATTCGGACTTCATCTAGGTTTGAAAAAAAATATATACGATTTACATTTAAAGGATCTAATCGGATACTCCAATTAGATTCCTTTGAAATTCAAACATTTTTCATAATGTTGACACATTGTGGGAGATGTACCAGAAGAGGTGGATCTAGGGGTCCAATCTTCGGACTTGGTATAGGTTTAGTAAAAATATTACGAGGTGCAAAATTTGGATCGAATCGCTTGATATTGGATTTACGAATTTTCAAAATTTTGAGGAGTACCGAGAAGACAACCCCGATGGGTCTGCTCTTCAGGCTTGGAAAAAATATTACAACTTACAATGTATGTATAAAATTGGATATTCCATTTTTAAACATTATATAGGCTTGTTTATAGCTAAGAATCGATTTATGGTCCGTCAGGGTCATTGGACCTTACCCTTTTGAAAATTAATTCTACAAAGGCCAATAATCGAGGTCGTGGTCTGGGCGGGGGAAAATTCTTATCGGGGATGAAATTCAGACCTATGACATGTTCATTTTTTAGTTGATGACCCTATTATACATGAAGAAATAGCTTGATTTGTAGAAATTGTATGTATTTTTCGAAATTACATTTAGAAGAATTTCTTGTGTGTCCATTTTGTATTATTTGAAATTACATTTAGAAGAATTTCTATGTAGAACAGTTCGTCCTTCTAACTCGATTCCTTGTGTGTCCATTTTGTCCTTAATTTATTTGCTCTAAAATTAACAAAATGGTGGACCTCCATTTTTTACCAAAAACAAAGTTATAGATAAGACAAAATGCGAGAACTATACACTCCCAGAGAAACGTTGCAAAATTTGGAACCGATTGGATTATTCGTTTTCGAGTTATCGTGCCCGCCACTCGCAAAAAAAAATTTAGAGAAAAACGCGTTTAAAGTTTGAGAAGCCCTTCAGCCGTCACTAGATGCTGACACAATAAATCGGATATATCTTCAAGAGTTCACACTTGAAATTTTGTAATTCTTTAATCAGTGTAGGTTCGATTATATCACAAAAATTTTGAGAGACTTGGTACCTTTGACTCTTGAAAAGGCTTATATGTTTCTGTCAAAACACATCTTGTGTGCTCAAAAGCTATTGATGAGAATCCACTACATCCTCAACGTGTGACTGTTTAGCGAAGTTTAGGGTCCGTTCAGTTCAATTCATGGTCCGTCAGGGTCATTGGACATTAATTTTTTGGAATTGAAATTAATTCTACAATCGTCGTTACTCTGTAGTCTGCATTAAGGCTCGAGTGTTAGGACTTATCAATTTCAGCCTGAAAATTATGCCGAATTCATCCAAAACACATCTTGACACATGAAGCCCATTTCCAACTCCCTGTCAAAATTATAGCATCTGGTGCTCGAAAAACTCAAAAGTTATTATAGGATTTTATCCTCTCCATACTAGGGATTTTCGAAAAAGAAGTTCTATCAAGAGTCTCGGTGAATAGATAAATAATGATATTTTATTGTCGGTTTAAAAAAGGCTTCGCTTCAGGTTTTCATCCAAAAAAGGTTCCCAGGAGTTTTCATCTAAAACCTCATTCAATTCATCTTCTTCAGGTTTTCTCGTTGGAAACATCTACATGATTTGAAACTGTTAGAAGGACCTGCAAGCATTATTTCTAAAAACTTTTGAGATAATCCACGAAATCCACCTCAAAAAATATAATAATAATAAATAAATAAATTGTTTCCTATTCGTTTAACTCAAAAGTGTAGGAATTCAAACATGGAGTCCTGAGAAAAAAATTAAGAATACAACAACAAAATGGAAAATGAGTAATTAAACGAAACTACAAAAGGGAGGCCACAAAAAAC